ACACCGACACACCGACACACCGACACACCGACACACCGACACACCGACACACCGACACACCGACACACCGACACACCGACACACCGACACACCGACACACCGACACACCAACAGACACACTTAGCGAATTATATAAAGTAGGATGGTTCACATGCCAGGAAAGGATACCTCAATATACAGTATGACTACAAAGTATGGACCGAAGTAAAATTATTGAGTAATCGCGATTCACTATGAAAGTTCACATTTACTAAGCAAAACATCAGCACACAAACAACCATGTAAGGTATTGTTCAGGTTGGTCTCCTTTTGCCAGAATACCACCCTTGGTGAAGGCTTCCAAAGTGGGCTGCAGGTAGTTGACATCAATATTCTCCCACTTCTCTTGCGCTGCTTCCAATCCATCTAGATTGCGATGAGCAAAAGTAACGCCTGCTGTAGATAACCTCACACGGAATAGTCCATTGTTCAAGTTTAGAGAGCTAGATGGCTACATATTCTTAATCCAGAATTCAGTGAGGAGGCAGAGGCATTCGTTTAGTTTCATCCATGAGGTGGTGCCCAGTCTCGCTGCAAGATAAAATTTCGTTAGGAAAAGTGTGTTTGGGTCCAGGGCATTGAAGGGTTTCTCAGAATGACATTCGGTAAGTTTCGGATTTGGGTTTGATGCTTCTAGCGACGGAGTTGTGCCTGCGCAAGCCATCGTTGACTTTGGAAACAGGCTTCTAGTTCTTACTCTTGTTTCTTGCCGAAGCCAAATACAGCTGCTGATGATCCTGGCTGCTGTTAGAAACCTTGACAGTGAAGATTTCTCATCCGTTCTTATGATATCCAAAAGGCGACCCTTGCGTACTGGCGAGAGTTTTTGGTCTTTGCGGGCGTATTCTTCTTCGCAACTGCGGTCAATATCTGTCCAAGAAGCGATAAATGTACGAAGCCAAATCCTGTTTGACTATTTCGGAACACTTCGGCGCGAAATGTCGGACTCTGAAGCAATTCTGTTCAAACTGACTTCGCTGCTGTAATACTTTTCTTGATAATTTTCCGGATCCAAAACTTTGACAGCTCTTTGCCGGCCCACTTTCGGATGGCAGAAAATGTCCTCTTTCCTTGTATTGTGCCACTATTCTTCCTGCTGTTCTGTCGCTGATAGGAAGCCTTCCCGCAATCTTTGCAACAGAAAAACGCTGGTCGACGAGGTGCACGATGTCCACCCGATGCGGAAACGGTCGCATTTCTTAGCAAAGGTTGACCGAGGAATTTTGATGTATTGATGTATTGGTAACAGCACTTGTTTAAGGTTCTTCCCTCAATGTATATGTCATTCGGCTGAAACAGGAGCTTATATATAGGTTACCAAGAAACACGTACAATTGGCAGACCATGCTTTGTAGCCACCCTTTACATACATATATAAAATCTTTATAAGAACCACTGACAGAGAATCGGAACGGATGTGAACATCTTTTCTCAACGATGTTGAGGATTTCTACTCATTCAAGCATGTCCAACATCGACAAGATTACAAACCCAGCCATTGGAATTTTCGGGTAATGCAAACGAGAGAAATGGCGAAACTGGTAACGATGTTTATGCATAATGATCAACAACAACAGACACAACACTCTCATAACAACAAAGAAACGGGCTACAACAAATAAGAAGTATACCTTAACACTTTACATAAACTCTAAAAACCTTGACTGATAACTTGATCAATATAAGCGTTGAACCTGAAAAAATAGTGAAGTACTTGCCGAAAAACACATAAGTGAACTGAACATGATCTTCACGTTCGCCTTCCTCGAAACTTGTGCATTTACATTTCTATGATATTTCAATGATTGTGCCGAACGCGTTTTTTAATGACGTTGACGTTGCTACAGTTTCGCCGTTCTCAATGACCTGAAAGCGCTGCGAAACTTCTGGAGTGCTGCTTATCTCGCTTGAGACAGTTCACGATAATTTTGAGGTACTTAGTCTACGTAAAATAATGGGGATTATGGCGCAGAATGAAGCAAAGACGGCGATGAAAGCACGAAAATCGGCGCTTTCTGAGAAGTATAAGGCTCCGAAAAAGTGAGAAAAGGAGGTCGACGAGATTATAGAGGCCAAAGAAGTGGCTTGCAAGGGGTTAATTGACGACTTTTCGACTGGTTCAATTGCGTAAAGAACTGGCAGCAGAGGGCCGAAAATGTCAAATCTTGCCTTCCACTCTGCGCATTCATGGCAACAAAGTCAGTCAACGTCGGCATCGCAATACGAAGGTGCCCACTGTTGCTATAGGTCACAAATAGTTGTTAAATTTTCAACATCTGCGTTCCATTGTGAACGGTTCAGCTTTAAAGGCATAAATCACGATAGGAATGAGATTACCTCCGTGGATGAACCTGTGGCCAGAGGACACAGTCGAGTCGAAAACCCATCTAAACAGGGCGTAATAAGAGCTACAAAAGGGGTTGGATAAAGTACATACCGAACATTGGGCATTTTGTGACGGGATCGTTATGGCTGAGCCCTTCACAATGGAACACACATGTTGAAAATTCAGTTAACTAGTCGTGATGTCAGGCGGCAGTGGGCACCTTCATATTGCGACGCCGACGTCGGCATCCTGAGCCGCATTATGAATGCGTCCCAATTTAACCCTTCCATGCCACTTCTTTGGCTCCCTCATCTCGTACCACCTCTATTACTTCACTTAAACTAGGTGCGTCAAAGTTATCGTGAACTGTACCGTTGACGGCTGGACCNCGAAAGTGTCAAAACGGTAGGCAAATAATTGTCCCGATAATAATTTAAAAACATTGAATAATTATGGATGTGTGGTTTCAGTCAAAAAACAAACCAAAGACTTTGAGCTTCAGAACTTTACGGTTAATACTTTTTAACCATTTATACCCAGCCTTTAACAGTACTCACACTTTGCGTTGACCGACATGATCGCTTCACGAATCACTTCATGCATCGCTGTTGATAGGTTCCCCGCGAAATTCCATGCATCTTACAAGGGCTAACGCTTCGTGAGGCGATTCCACTTAACAGTTCGGTTCCTTTCTCGCTTGCCTATCGCTGTTATGCTTATTGATAGGCGTGCGGTTGAGTACAACGCTTTTCTGTTCCGAATAGCGTTCCCAAGAAGCACCCACAGCACATAAACTTCACTATATGAAAAAAATTGATCGATCATTCTTCGAATAACAAAGTTGGATGGATCAACAAACTGAACAAACAATGTGATAGCGACTGTTCAGTGAACGAGCGAAGTCAGGCAGATATGTTAAATAGACATGAAAACCCGTCGGTTATGACGGAACACAATGTTTTAGCGACATTGAAGAACCGTGAACTGTTACTTCGCGTTCACAAAGGTGGGCGTGATCTACGAAGAATAAGCCCTCCCCTACGAGACAGACTTCGATGTCCATATCTGTACACAGTAATACTGCCGACACAGCCAGGTGACCGTCATCGCATTACACGACAGACTTCTTGGTTATCCTTTCCACCGGGGGTGATTACTGAATGAAAACCTCTAGAGTGCAGGAATCTATCCTGACCTACAGCCAGTTGGGTTAACTCGTTACCACACCCGCCACGTGTCGCAGAATTGCAATGGGTGATCAGAGCGGGCAGCTTATGGGCCAGCGCCTACGACGCGGTTCCAACGAGCGGTCATTGCAGTGTCATGCCGCTATACCACTTAAAGAGAATTTGCCGGGTGCCTGAGAGCAACCATGGGAAATCTGCCACAAATCGCCACTCGTCTTATGGAAAGCTAAAGGAACGTTGAGACAAATATCAGTTTCCCAGCCTCACCATCAGCTAAGCGGGTGAAAGATGAACCACCATGCTCATGAGCCCCTTGTGCCTCAAGGCTTTTACTATTATATTTTTAGCTCCATGTCACCAAAACGTTTTGAGACGTACTTCACTTGTTGCCACATTTGAAACTATCTTACCAAACTGCAGCAATCTCTCCTGGTTCCAAACGATAACTTGAGATATTTTTCCATAGGTTTTATGTAATTCAAATTTAGCTCGAAAAAACTAATTACCTACTCCAAAAACTAGTGGTTCCATATCGTAGACTTTCATCAAGTCCATCTCATGCTTGAAGGGCGCCGACTTTAAACCGAATGCATAAGTGCATTCGGAGAAGAACTGATAATGTTTGGAGATCAAACCTCTTCATATCCATGATTATGATTCTTCTATATGGTTTATAAGACTTTCCTTCCTTCACCAACGTATGAAACTTGCTCGTGCTTTCCACCTCACTATGAACAGGATAATCGAAGAACAGCGCTTCACCTTCACTGACCTGTAAAAGAAGAGAAATCGCCTGAAAGAGCTAAAGATGAGGTTCCCATGAAGGAGCTCATAAACTGTACCTGCGTCAAAATCCCATCCTCAATGTTGTCATAAATAATATCAGCAAGCGAGCCGCCCTGTGTAGCTAACCTTTTCTGTAAAAAAATTCATTATATTGCAGCGTGAGGAGAAAAAGCTAGGAAAAGAATGGTCAAGGGTAAAGACTAGGTTTTGTTTCGAGATATCAAATCACCAGCAAAAGCAAGAGATCTCAAATAAATAATGAAGAGATAGCTTCTACATGACCATCCTTCAATAGGGGCCCCTAAGAACTTAAGCCAAGTTTTCTACGCTCAAAAAAAAAAAACCGTCACA